GATTGGCCTCTCTTTCTGTCCGCTGCTCCCACCTCTCACTCCTCCTCCCTCCCAACCTTTGTTCTCCCGCTACTTTACCTTTGCCTACTGCCCTGTCTCTCTCACACCTGAAGAAGGCTCCACGGCCGAAACGTTGTGTTCTCTTTCTTCTTTTTTTTCAGCATGGAATAAACCCATATTTGTTCCTTTGCAGCCTACGCATGCTGACGCAGCTACCCACCTGAACTAAGCCAAACAATGCTTGCCAACCATTCAACATGCTCAAATCTATTTTATTTCTACACAATCTGGGCGGTTTAAAATCCCAGCACTTGTGTGACAGATCTTTTTTCAGGTCTGTGAAGGAGATTTCAATATGGAGATTTGGTCATGTCGGGATACCGTTAAAGAACTCAAAGTGAAATGTTTTTGTTTAAGAATGAACTGGGAAAGGCTACAATTGATGTCATTCAATCTACAGAATGACACTTACTAGCCAAGGCAATTAACTGAACTTAAAATCCTTTTATTTAAAATTATATATAATATATCCCAATCCTCTCACTCTGCTTTCCTTTTTTCTTACCCAAACTGTCTACAAAATGAAAATTATGTCTTCATTAATAGCTTCTCATAAGTAGTAGTAGTAATAATACAGTCTCCTGTTGTAATAACACAAAATCATATTCTTTTCTGGACAATGCTGGCATGAAACTTTATTCATGGAATACACAGAACAGACATTGATATCAATATTAAATTCATTGTCCCTGAATATATACATACACATATTAGAATTATTGAAAAGCTGTCCGTATGACTAGCCCAAAATAATGAATAATATTCCTGGTCCAGGGAAGTCAATCTTTTTATTTTGCATTAATCTGCCATTCCAAGTAACAGCATTCATTCCGGGAGAGACCACATCTTTAAAAACAACTTGAGAGACTATGCTTTCCACAGAAAATAACTGTTGACATCAGTTAAATGAAGCTAAGTATACAAAATAATGCTGATGTGAAAATACCCCTTTTTATATTTTTCGTGCCACACCTGAAGTAATCATGGCTTTACACCATCACAAGACTGAAGTCCAAACATCATATTTCTGAAAAAACGCCTGCTCCGGGCACCCTGATACGAAACGTGCCAATGAATGCCTACCTCCTGACCATCAGCTTTAATACTGCTTTCAACCAGCTGTGAGGAAAAGAAGTGTTCATAACAGCAAATCAGGCAGAAGACTCAGTCTTCAGTTCACTGTGAGAAAGCTGGGTGCAGAGAAGTCACTGGGTTTCCTCTTCCTTTCATGCCAACTTTAGTCCCTCCTGTCATGAAATATGTTGTACCCGAGCTCCACCATGGCCCCTACGAGAAGGACCCAAAGCGGAATGAAGACAAAAGTCAGTTTCATGACCGTGAGCTGCTCCAGTCTGGCACACAGCGTGAGGCAGAAGGCCAGTTTTAAGTGCATGGCTATCATGTACCACACCCTCCTCTTCAAGTGCTGGGCTTCATTGCGAGGGTCATAGCCAGGCTTGCAGCGGCCCACCAGTTTAACCACGAGCATGAGGAGCAGGATGGTGTCGAAGATCCAGACGGGCAGGAAGATGAGGAACCAGCTCCAGTTGACCTTCTCATCCAGCTTCAGCACCAGCATGATGAGGAAGACCAGTGTGAAGACCCAGGTGAGGAGCACTCTCTGTGCCAGGGACATTCTCATTTAAAACACCTTGCAGAAACCTTCTCACACCCTGGAACACAAACTGGGACCACCGGGGATTTGGGTGGGGACAGAGGCAGCACAATAGTTATTCTACCTGCACTTAATTTCAGTACAGCTACAATCATGTTTTATTTTCATCTCCTATCGGGGTTTCTTGCAGAAAAAAGCTTAGGCTGGATGCTAACCTCCCACAGATGACAAAGTGGCACGTTAACCATCCCCCCAGCTATCTAAAAGCTAGATTACTTTACTAGCTTGTGAACTAACACTCATTCTTATTATTGTAGCTACACAACATTATCCTGAACAAGACCTTATATGACAACAACTAGTTTGATTATATAGGATTCATGAAAGTTGTAGGCTACCCATGATGTTGCGTAAGGAAGAGCTTTGTGCTTGAAACACATTGATAATTGCCATTTTGTTTGCATCAAGCCATCATTGTGTTCTTTTTGCCATTTAGACACTGTTTATTATTTCATGCTCATTAAGGCAATAGATCTATTTCAAATTGAAGTGGCTTCCACTGGGCATTAGGACACACACAGACTGCAGGGTGACTGCCCCTTGCTGGCCCCATTAACACTTCTTCCAGCAGAAACCTTAGTTTTTCCCAGGAGGTCTCCCATCCAGGTACTGACCAGGCTCACACCTCTTGGGCTTCAGGGGGCCAGCTAGGAGCTGCAGGGTGATATGGCTGCTGGCAAAAAAAATGGTTCTCGATTTAACTGGTTAATCGTAGGATTATGATGATAAAAACTGGTTGCAAAGTATTGTTCAAACGTTATAAACGGAAACGTCTAGCGGTTTTCGAATGGATTTTAAAGGGCGATTTTCAAAAGACGAACTGAGGGGACTCTCGCCTTCGGTTCCACGCATCTGAGACACTGTATTCAGTGTCTGGGGGCTGATGCAGAATCTGAAGATAAAATGCCAGTTTTGACTTAACTTTCGCACTCAGATGATTGTTGCCAACAGGTTATTGCGGCAAAAATGCGATAAGACAGCATTACAAGCTACTATTTGTACAAGGCTGATAAACCGATAATGCACAAAGCCAACAATAATAACCGGCAAATTCAATTACAAACAATGAAATGTTACAAAAATACTAATAATGCGATCGTTATAACAGCTTTTGTACTTAGTGACATACACCAACTGTACTGGATTATTCAATATTTATTTTCAATAACTTAAGTAAGGATGTAAAAACAAATTATCTTAAAACCGAAACTGAACAGGTCGGTTTTATTTTCAGCACTCCAGAAGGTATGCAGAGCATCGTTATTTATTAATTTTGTGCCTGAAGCCAAACACAAACAAACTCAACATACATTCAAAACATTTTCGGACATTTGCACACAAATATTAGTCTTGTTTTTAGGTGTCATCCGCGATGGACATCAAAGATTCACACTTCCATTCGTCCTGGGACTTACCTTGGTTATCCGCTTACGTTCAAGACCGCAAGAGTTATCTTGCGATCTCTACATCTGGAAGGCCTTCAATTCCCAATGCGAGCTAACCAGACTAGGCTTTTTCAACACCATCAAGAAGAGGCTTTACAAAAGACATTTTACTCCAGTTTCTCTTCCTGTTTCTCTACAAAAAAACACAACCATTCACAGAAACCATGCTGCGCTCCTCCTTCTTTACTAGGATAGGATATTTCGCCGTCTGTTTTAGTCTGTTTGGCAACATCATTGGACTAAAGCAGTGTCAGTCACAACAGCGAGTCGCTTCTGATTTGAGGAGGACTGCATAGGTATCATTTCCGGGTACAAAGGTCTTACCGTAAAACGTGTATGATTTGTATGCACTAAAAACGTGAAGTGACTCCAGATTCTCTTCTTGTTTAGCATCGAAGTTACAGTTTAACATGTACACACAAAAGGTTAAGTGAGTTAGTGCATGCATTAATAAGAAAAAATGTAAGGTTTATAGTTCTCTCTACAAAAACAGTCAGAATAGTCAGAATATACGAATTTTTAAGATTCTACAGAATAAACCTGCAAATATCGACTGAAGTAGAAGTCGTAACATACACACCCGTGTAAACTAGTGCATTGGTCAATAGGTTCCTAGGATGAGGAATAAATGTTTAATACAGGAAATTTGTTGATGGTTTATTTGAAAATGTATTCATTAGCAGTTTTTTTAGCAAACAGAAATCCATTGGAAAATTGAAGTGGTCTCTGCTGAGCCTCTAAGGTAGTCCCTTCTCAGATAATACAAGACGTGTTATGCTGAGGTTTACAGGTGAAGACCTTCGAAAAATGAACATCCAAAAGAGACAAAACACCTGCAGCCATTGGCATTACACATAGAAGTGTGACTTGTGTCTAGAAACATGTGTTTCCAGGTTTCCACAGGACAGGAAACCTGAAATCTATGTGTTCATGACTGGGACCAAGACAAGGAATTAGATACTGTGCCGATTAGATGGGGAAAAAGATAGATAGGAGCTGTTCATGAATGCACGTTCAAGCTGATGAATTACCTGTCCTAAAATTAAGCTGCATCCTTATGATAATGATCTGCTTCAAAATCTAAAGGTTGACTTTGGTGGTGCAGATGATGAAAGCCTGGTAATGTTTATCAAGGCTATGAATGAGAGTTTAGCTGAATGGTAAGCTGTATAGTTCTGTATAGTATATGGGGAATTACACCCCAAGGAGTTTTAATGCATATGGAGAAGTGACACAGAAACCATATCTGTGTTCTAGAATCATTTGAAGTGCTTTGTTTTGTTACGATGATGCCACATCCTTTCTGGTCACTGGGATAAAGGCCACATGTTCATGATACCCTATAGCACCATCCCTGACTTCTACCATGAACCTTGAGTCTTCTCAAAACTTTGCATGTGATCAGGGGACAACGGTCCATCATGGATGCCATCTATACCAGTCTCACTGTTCCTGATCGCCAATGGCACAGTGCTCTCAGATTTTAAGCATGGCCTCTTACAGTTTTGGCCACATTAGTGTCGCATTTCTGGATCTATCACTAATATTATAAGAACAGGTATATCTGATGGTGATTAATACAATAGAATGTCTGTGACAGGTTAGATATTTGATATTTTTGGCTTGTTTGAAAGTAAAACTGTATGTGAGACAGGGTCTCAAGAAAAAAACGGAACTCCCCACTTCTTCAAGGGCCAGGTAGTGTTTTTGTATCTTTGTCTTTCAGGGAAGTAACCAGCTAAGAAATGGTTTCCATTACTGTCAAGATGAAACGCAACTTCCTGTATTAACAAGGTGGTGGTTGACCAGTTTGGTTCTGCAAAAGGAAGCATTGTTGACCATTAATACAATATATGGGTCAATACCTATATCTTTATAGCTGATTGATAGCTCAGTGGAGAGATATCATTACCACATGTTACTCGTTTCCATAATTGCAATATATAACTGTATTTATAATAATATATTAACTTCAGGCCAAAATCAATTGAATTTTGAGACCCTAAACTCTAGTCCTCCTTTTTCTTTTTCTTCTTGATACCTACTACATCAGTTAATTTAAAGGCATGTGAATGAAGCAATGCCTCTTTTGTTGTATGATTTTGCCAAGTATTAAGGCTGGGAATACTGTGAGGCTGTATTTCAAATGTTTTACATACTAAAAATGTTTTTGTTTTAATTCTTTATCAGGCATTGTGTTCTATTCTTTTAGAGTCACAGCTTAAATGTTCTGTAGTACATGTAGCAATCTTATTCGCTCATGGATACCAACAGAGCCTGTTGTATTTCGTAATGGATTAATAGAATAATTCAGATATTGACTTAATTGCCAATAGCTTATGATCTTGTCATTGTTAGCCAGGTATTTAGTTTGCATGGCTTTCAGGTTACCTATAAAATCTACACAGCTACAACTCTAGAATTCTAGGACCCAAATTGAGTGTCACTGAACCTGAACCTTATTCTCGCAATGGGGAACATAATGATTTCATAGCAGTTAATGAATTAGAAAGGAAACAGCTGAGATCAGATCTGAGAAACATTTATTTTTATATACACAGAACAGAAAATAAGGATTGTGCAATAATGCACTAAAAAGAGACTATCAGTACACTTGAAATATACTATTAGTACACTATAGTTTATTAGTATGGATAATATATAATTAGTGTACTGTACTGTTTGTATATATTATAATACACTTAATTTTAAAGCAATCATTGAAAAACCAAGGAGATCAATATGGTCATAAAAGCTTCGTGATATTGACTTATGAATGGGCATGATAAGAGTTTTCCATGCAATCTCTGATTTTTGTTTGCTTGACACACAACTTCTGTCATATAAAGAGATAAGAGTACAAGCCTTTTGGCTTATCTTACCCCCTTGGTTCCTGATAGCTTTTTGAAAAATCCAATGGCATCAGTTTCATCACCATAGCTGTGCAGCTTGTTTTAGACACCCACAAGGCTTTGACACACTTCCTCTTAATTTCCATTTGTGCCCCTTGATTGACTGTTAATACCTTTAAGGAGTTTGAATGCTTATATCAAGCCCCCTCAGAATATCCTCTGTTACTTTGTTACTTTATTTTGCCTGTATATGGCATATACTTCTGAGCAGGAGTAAATTTCACTTTTCTTTAAACTCAATTAAATGCAGAAATCTAACCTTTATTTTTGCTGTTGTTAACAGGTTTATTAACAATGACAATGATCCAATATAATAATCCATCATCCATGTAGAAGAAACATGACTCACTCCTAGACTCCTGGGTCTGGGCATCACTCAGTCACCCCTCAGCCTCCAGTCCTGATCACAGCATTGGCGCTGACAAGCTCAGACCTCTGTGGCCCATCACTGGCTTCCAATGATTTGCCCCTGAGGAGATGCCTCCTCTCATCCAGCGAGTCCATTGCAGCTAATTTTCCCTGCAATACTGTGAGCTGCACCCTCCTCTGAGACATGGTGTCACTCCTCTGGGGTGGGGAGGTGGGACTGTGGCTTTGGATCTACGCCTGTGGCTGGAAGGTTGCTGGTTTGTATCCCGCGGCCGGGAGAGGAATCCTACTCCGTTGGGCCCCTGGCCAAGGCCTTTAACCCCAACTGCTTCAGGGGCGCCGTATAAATGGCTGCCCTGTGCTCTGACTACCAGGCTTCTCTCCTTGTCTGTCTCATGGAGAGCAAGTTGGGGTATGCGAAAAGACAAATTCCTTTACAAGAAATTGTATATGGCCAATAAAGTGCTCTAATCTTATCTCCTGACTTCACGGTGAGGCTTGCCTTTTTCTCTCCCCCTCCAGGCCCCCAGTAAGGTCCACGGCAAACCAATCGATGTCACATCCTTTCACTACTGACACCAATGTGATAAAACAGACTTTGTTAACAGGCTCTAATCGGTGAGGGCAACACTTGAGCTCCTGCCCATGGAGTAGGGCACTGCAGATCAGATTGGAAGCTTGATAACAGAGCGACACAAATCTCTCTAGCTGCTGTGCCTCAAATGACCTCTCAGGTAGAGCAGCCGCAGGCCCCGACTTGAGTGTGATGTCAGTTTGAAAAGATGATGAACACAATTAAAATTCCTAAGATTGCTAAGCACTAAGGTTTCAGATTAAATCTTATAAAAAGTAAACTGGCTTTAGCCTTTTAGGGACGATGGTTCTCCAGTTCAGGTCCTGAGGGGCCTCTTTTCATAGCTTTCCTCAACAAAGGTTTGCCCTAATTTATTTTTTAATGAGCTACTTAATTGTAATAAAAGTAACTAGAGGTGAATGTTTTGAATAATCAACAGTAAAATTCAAAGAAAAAGGTCTCAGAAAATAATGAGGTTGATTGTGTCGTTCACAAACCATAAGACACTTAAATTGAGATTGAGGTCCCTGCTTTGGAATAAAGGCTATTTTTTGTCAGAAACTGAGCAGACCTTATAAAAATATAATTTGCAATAACCTCACAGATGATCATTATATTCTCAAATGCAATAAAGGAATCCAAGAACTACTGATTGTGAGCTGCTTTTCTATTTACAGGTTAACTACAGTACTACTCTAAAATGTTCCACAAACAATTCTGAAGTTTTATGATCAGCATAATTTCTTTCACCATATTTAGAAGCCCACTAAACATCTATTCTTAAAGTTACATACCCACCCCATCTTTTCTAATCCCATTGATGATCTTTTTAGTTTTGCTGTTCCTATAAAAAAGCAAGTGAATAAGACAATCTAATTTATTGTCTTTAGTGCAGCGCTTTTCTTTTCATTGAAAGGCCAATTTTGGAGTAAGTCTTACGGGGAAAACGTCTCAGTTTGTCTTTTCACCCATCCTCACAATGTGGGTTCTGGGATGTTCTGTTTTATTTTGAACGTGCTGCTCGAGTTTCACCTTCTTTGACTCTGCCCCCTCACATCTCATTTCCTTTTAGCATCGAAAGATTGTTAGTTTCTGCACACACTATTTTCCTGAAATAGTTTAGTCAACTTGCATTATGTGGGAGCTTGAACTGTGTTCTAACTGATTCTGCATGGTAATCTACCCTATCATATTGGTGTAGCACTGTAATATAACACTGTAAAGAAGGTCTTACAAGTGCATTGTATAATTCTAACTTCCCTATGGATCCTACCATTCTGTTGACATTATAAAATGCTTCCTTACATTGTCTAGAGAATAACAATGATGATATTGTTCCTTCTTTCAAACCAGTGTCATGTATCATCTTGTGTTTTTAATGTACCTTCCTGTTACCCACATGGAATTCCTTGTTGAAATTCAATTTTATTTACGTTTGCCAAGTCCTGGATTTTAGCTATTTTTCTGCTGCTCCTACAGTGTTTGCAGATCCCATTTAAAATCAACTGTGAATTTGTCAGGTGTACTGGTTATGCCAGAATGAAGAAAACGCTCACACAGTTCCCTGTGGTACCCCACTAATTATGTCATTGTTGTTTGAACTGCCTCATTTAATCAGTAGGTTACTTTCTGACTTCTAACCATTAATTTGTTCTCAATCCACACATTAGCTTAAACACCCAGAGAGTTAAATTTAATTACTAACCTTTGAGGTAGAACTTTAGGGAGAGTTTTTTTAAATAATAAAATCATCTCACATTATGATGTGCACTATGATAGGCTACGATTACATAACATATGCTGATATGTTGATATGTTATGGTTACATGCTTTGTTAATGTCACAAATGACCTCTGAGCCAAAGGCGCTTGTATTGCATTGTTTTAGGTTCTGTTGAGCTTTGAAATTTGATTCCTAGGATCTGAGCAAGACTGCAGTGGAGTGGAGACTAGATGTACATTTGACAAAAATAATTCACTCGCTAAGCAGGTTTTAGACTCCTGCAGCACTTTAAAGGAGTACTAGGAATTAAAGCATTATCTGTCAGATGCTGACTTTCGGACTGTGATCAAAGGACTTCAAACTGCTTACAGAAGACAGCTCACACCAATTCATTGTTGTACTCACGCCTCTGCCATGTGAGACTTAATATATTAAATATTAATTCTTAAAGTTATCAGCCTGCCTTGTAGTGCTGTACATTTTCCTTCTTCACATAATCTACCACACAAAGAGAGCTTACTAAACAGAACCATTAGAATCCATATTCTAACCAGTTCTTCCAATTCTGAGTTACAGGGGAACCAGAGCCTATCCCAGCAATCAAAGTGTGCAAGGCAGTGTTCACTCTGGATGGGACACCAGTCCATTATAGGGCAGATGGATGCAAACAGAGATGCACATACATCAGGGCCAATTTGACCAAGAGCTGGTTAACCTTCCGCAGTGTTTTTGGACTGTGGGAGAAAACCCACACAAACATGCGGAGAACATACAACCTCCATGCAGGTAGCACGCCAGGCCCAGACTTGAACCCAGGGCCCCAGTGCAGTGAGGGGTCATGCCTAACCACTGTGCCTCTGCGCCACCCATTAAATAGCACAGAGATAAAAAAGCATACATCAATAAATACATGTGCTTATTAGGTTATTGGAGCATGACTCCATATTCGTATTAGGCTAGAATGGGAAAACTACATCAAAACCCTGAAAAACTCTGTTTGAAAACTTGATAATGTTTCAAAAATGACGTAAAGTAAGAAATGACATTAATCTTAAGTAAATAACCTTTTCAGTATTTTCACTTTCAAATATGTTATTATGTGTATATGCTAATGTACATATGTAACTATGTGAGTTTTATTAACTTAATACTACTTCTGTAACACCATTCCAAAGAAACCAGGGACTCAGACATGTTTGGAACTATTCTTATAATCTTATAACTTACTTTTACAAAAAGGCCTGTGTGGCCTGTTTTTTTTCCTTGGATTTATTCTCTTTGTTGTCTGGGTTTATGGATGTTTATGTGCCACAAAACACTTTGAGATCATTGATTTTAAATAAGAGCAAGGCGTGGTGGCACAGTAGTTAATATTAGTGTTTGACAGTGCTGGGGCACTGTCAATTCAATTCCTGTGGTGCTATCTGTGTGGAGTTTGTATGGTATGTTCTCTCCAGTTTTGCATATGTTTCTTCCCACAGTCTAAAGACATACTGGTAGGTTAATTGGCCTCTGGGAAAACTGGACCTGGTGTGAGCAGGTATGTATTTATGTCTAAGTGTGACTTGTGATGAACTAGCATCCTATCCAAGGTGTATCCTGCTTTCTGCCAATTTCTTGCCTGGATAGGCTCTGGTTCCCCACAACCCTGTACTGGATACAGCAATTGGAAAAAGGATGGATGAGTTTTAAATGAGTTATATAAAATAAGAGTGTATCATTTTATTCACAGGAATTATTTTAATAATTCTCACTTCTATTATTACAAGACAATTCTTAAATCAAAATGATGATGACATTTAGTTTGTTTAATTTCTTAAAATTAGTTTCCCCTGGTTTATGGGGAATAGAAGTCTGAGATGTAGATCACAGACCACTAGATGGTACTGTGTAGTCAGTTTATAGTTCAATATGACCTGCAATCCATGAGATGAAGCCCAGAAAAATAAATCCATGCAATAGCAGAAGTGCTGGCAAAATGTCTGTCATAGGACTCCATCCACCAGTAGTTAATGAACATATCAACATGTCATATGTGTGAAGACTGACAGTGGAAAAGAACATTACCTCTTCAGTGTAAAAGTATTATAAACAGTTTACAGACATTTATCAGAAACAATTCGAACAACTGTCTGGTATTATATCCTACATATCATACTGTATCCATAATGCGTGATACAGGATAATACTAGAAAGAAGGGGGGATATTATTTGGGGAATATATGTCGGAATATGAATTTGAAGAAAAGCTCTCTGATGTCATGCTCTGTGAAGTGTGGAAACAACTGCATGGAGGTGGAGAACAGCAAAGGAAACCATTGAATCTCACAAAACTCTTGAGATTCACAGTATGTTACCACATCAATTAACTGGCAACACCTAAATACATTTTATGCTTAGACAGGCACTGGATCTGTGGTAGAGTTAAGTGAGCATATAGAAAATTTTAAATAACAGCTAGATCATACTTTACTTTAATTCTGAATCTTTAGGAACTCTTTTTAATTTATTTACAGGCTGTGATTAACTTGCGGGTTAGACACACCAGAATATTGCTGGAATTAATGTATTTAACAGAAGTATACTGTTTACCAACAATTGTGAAGGGATTAAGATTTCATCTGCGTTGAGGGAAAGGAACCCAATACAAAGATTTATATGCACATTTATTTCTTCAGTTACGGTAAAAAGAGTGCCAGGGGCTTGCGTTTGGAAACGAATTGGAGGTCAGAGAAGAGATAAGCACACTGAGAAATCAGCGAAGCTGTGTATGACAGTACCACTACCAGATTAGGAAACCATCAATATTCAAAATCAGCAATCAAAGTAATCACCTGTAAGAACAGCTTGTGAAACCGTAAACAAAATCGAGGTAAGCACCGAACAGCATTTTGAATTACTGAACAGACAAAACAGAGGTGCTCTTCTGTCTCAAGCATTAGCAAAGTGTTTTGTCTGTAGCTGCATCAGTCAGTCACTGCTGGGATTGTGAATATTGTAAAAGGATTTTTCATTTTCAACAAACCGATGAACAGATTTCCGCGGTGAGCTGCTTCTTTGTGTAAAGTTACAACCATGCATTTATCGAACCAAGGCACCTCAAGCAGTTACTATTGTTCATGGGGATTAGTGTCTCCTCTTAAGTGAATTCAATGAATTTCGCAACACAAAACTAGCATTTTGTATTTGTTTCAATACATACACGTTCAATGTTACGTTGTTGTAAGTTTAGCACAACTTATATTTAAATTGGCATGTTTCATTATTTTAGGAGATATCACGTAATTCGTTATTATTATGGTTTGCAACGTAAAATGGGCGATAATGAAATTCACGTTTAGAAAATTTCATATCTTAACTAGAACAAGTTACTGCTAAATATTTTATATATCTCGAGAGCAGTTGCCACCTTTTGTGCCTCTCATTTTTTTTTTGCAGTCAGTCCCAATTCCCCTGACTAGTGGAAATTCGAGTGGTAAACGTTCAACTGGTATCTTCAGATCAGAGAATCAGCAGTACCTTCCACTTCACATTTCAAGTCCCAGAACAGCCTGTTTTATTATTGCATCACTTTTAAAGTAATCAATAATTCAATCAATAATTTCGATAGTTTACATTCTGTGGGTAGTCTTTATATTATTAGTAAATGTTATCTGATGTACAGTTTAAACCAATCAATTACAATGTGAAACAGTACAATCAGTAGAAATCAGTTGCTCGTAAATATTGGACCAAAATGAAATTATTTCCACTATGATTGTCAATTTCCAGATTTATTTGATCTTCACATTCTGACATCTGCATCAGCTTCCCCCTGGCACACCTTCTCAGTTATTGACAGCAGCATAATTAACAAGGCTCTGGATCAAGACACTTCTCCTTTCAATTCATTATGCACATCTCCCATTAACAGATGGGATTCAGTTAGTGAAGACTGGGGATGGGTATTGCTCTTCACCAACCTGGTGCAGGCTGGATCGGTTAATTTGCATTTGATTTCTTCCACCTTCCACCTACAAATACTCATTTGTTCAGGAAAGGAAAGTACAGTGTGGTTGCTTGAAATATTGCAACGACGACAGATATTCAAATAACTTTATAGGGTTTGATATCATGACTTCAAATGTAGGATACTTTGGTCTCAGAAGGCACTGTAAATTTCACTTCACAATGACAGAGCCCCTATTTGACTGTTTTACAACTTAAAATTTGAACTTGTAGGAAACCAGACAGGGAGAAAGCATGAAAGCTCCACACAAAAAGTACCTCAGGACCCAAGAGCTGTGAATGACTTGATTTACAGCTTGAAGTCAACGCTTAGTTAATGGTTAACAAATTGTTAACAATATAAAATGACTTATCTTTTGGAAGTGGTTTTCATTATTTGACTGTAATTGTGTTTCCTCCATAGGATACCATAAACATAAATCTAGGAAGCAGGTCTTCTTACTGGAATGACAAACAAAGTATTCTTGCACTACACAGAAAAAACAAAACAGCTGAAAGATCAGCTAAAAGGTAAAAAGGTCCTGTCAGTGATGTCAGGTAGTTCATCTGATAGAGCTGTGATGTACGAGGAGTCAGTAGGAGTGTTTGTCAGATTCTGTCAGGCTAGTGAACGTGCATTTTGTGGTGTTCATTCTATAGGGAAGGCAGATGCCAAATATCTCGTAATTTACATCTTCATACATAAACCAGGTTTATTCAGGCCCTGTTGAGACTGATGGTATGAGTTCCCACACTGAAACCTGGCTCATGTTTTGTGGTCTCTATTTTTTTTTAACCAGATCAATGGTCCAGATGTGTTGGATCCCGACGACAAACCTAACTTAGTGATGGATGGCCGAGCATTGTCTTGCATTTCATATAATTTATTGCTAATCTAACTTTCCTGATGTTGTTTATGCAATTAATTAAACCTTTACATTGCAGTGCATCTTCCATTACTGCACTAAATGTTTCTTAGATCTATTTAATACATTGGAAGCACTTTTCAATACATTAAAATGGTCTTTTTGTCAGCTGCCAATAAACATAGGGATCTGGAAAAATATGATGGCTTGTGCATGGAAAGACTAATTAAACATTTTGGCAGTACTTATAGTACCATCCATAAGAGTTTGGATTTATCACTTTTTCTGTCTTTCCTTTGACAGCTGAACTGTAAGGATGTCCAGTCCTGTTGCAGTTCCACTGCACAAAGCCATGAGGTGTAACACACAGGTCTGCAGGCTCAGCATTCAAGCCTTTTCCATCGTGTGTCACCATCAATCTCTTTTCAATAACCCAAAACATTAATTTGCCGATATTTATTGGTCCAGGCTGTGCTGTTTGCTCTGCAGTCCTTCTTTCCTGCTGGCATATCAAATGGGCAGCTTGTGTGTGGTAGCGTCAGTGTTAATTCCTCTCCTGCAAACAGCGTTCACTGGCCATGGGCTCTGTTTTGTGGAGATAAGCTGTCTTAAGAGAGGGGCTTTGAGCTTTCATTTTCTGTGGACTCAAAGGTATACCATAGGCTGTGGGTTCTGAGTAGAATCATTTACCATTTGTTTTAAAGACCCAGTTTGCTATGAGAGCTGACTTTATCCTGTATTCCAAAAAGAAAGAAAAAGAACGCGTGCCCCCAAATTATTGAGGTGGTATCCAGTAATAATCTGTAAAAATAGCCAAAGCAACTGTGCACATACTTTCTCTATTCCAAAATAATGCATCTGTTTGCACTTGTTAATGGCATACACAAGTCTTCATCAGGCTAGTTCTTCATCTCTGGCAAGACAGTGGTCTCATATAAGTAATTCCTTATTCCTTAATTGCTGGCAGTCCACATGAGAGGAACTCCTTTTTCAAAAAGAAACAACAATGATGTTATAAACAAATCCATCTAGTCATAAATGTAATTAGCTGTTATCTTATTGTCAGTTCAATACATATTGATGAACATGTGCTCGTGTATATAACAAAAATAGACCATTCATTTCAAAACTCCAATTTAAAACTTGTTAGTCATCTTCTGTTTGACTGTACAGTTGGTTTTTTGTCCAGTATTCCTTCAGATATTATATTTTCTGTCTCTGAATATACATTTTCTCTCTTCAGCAAGTCTCTTTTCGACTGACTCTCTGGTAAGCACGCATCTGACTATCCTGTATGGTAGTTAACATTAGGGAGTGCTTGTCGGTTCTTTGATTGTTTTGGACACAGATTTGTATATGTATGGGGTGGGGTACTTTGACGACCTTAAATTACCTGCAGAGGTTTACCGCAGCCCAATAGTAAAGGCTTACTTTTTATTTTTATTTTACTAGTGTTGTTTCTGGAAGTTTCAGTATAACGTTCACGTTACAGATATATAGGAAACATGTTTCTTTCACCCAGGCTACAAGTTTCTATCTTATGGGCTTCAGTGCTGTGGTGTCACACCTGTTATGATTGAAATACACTGAAAACAGGAAAAGTCATAGGCAACCTATTTCTGTCCTCTGTTTTGCAGATTTTAACTTTCTGAAATGTGGTCTGAAATGTTCAGTCTTTTAATGCACTTTATTGGCCTCTTTGCTGTTTTGTTTATGACTAGATTTCCAGTTATCTTCATAACTGTTAGCCATTATTAATGAGAGTCTAACTAGTACATCTAACTGGTCCTGTTGATTGTTTTTACTGTATATCATTTGCATGAAGTGGAGCCTCTTTTGAATTGTGAGTTAATTTATAGGAGATACAGCTCCTGTATTTGGTGAGTGGTATAGTAACTTATTTGGCTTCCTGTTGTTTTTTCACTCCACCTGCCACCCAACATTTCATGAATACTGTTTACAGCAGGAAATGATTCATTCACACGTCTAAGGGATAACGATAGGGCCGTGCATCTTTTTCAGTATGTGGATGATGTGGTAACCCTGTATGGCTTTTAGTTGTTACTGTGATGTACAATTTTCATCACTCATGTCTTCTACATTCTGTTAACGTGTTTTCTTGATTGGAGAAATACACAGGGATTGTTACTTAAAACAAAATGTCAGTTTGCCAGATGAGAATCTATAGCACTGATGTTGGTGCAGAGCAGAGCAAAGCCCTTGTTTTGGACAGTTATTTATTTAAGCCACTGCAGAGCCCTTGGATTGTTGACCAAGTTTCACAGTCTTCAGTGTGGTTTTCAGATGAATGCTTATATTTTTGGCTGGAGAAGCTTGCAATGAATGGCAGACACATACAGTGCAAGACCCTCTTCTGTTGCTAAGACTAATCCCTCACAGAATGGATTAACCTCTTCCAAAAGCTGTACAGCTTTAGCCATATTCCCTAAGGCTGTTTTAATGGGTCTGCTGATCTACCGTACTGTCATTTGCCCTGTTGTTGTGATGCGGATTTACTTGCCATCAGGATACATTTGTGTTGTTTATGCAGCAAGCATCACAGGTTTGTCCAGTAGGTTTAGTTTCTCATAGTCTCCTGCTGTACTAATTTGTGCAGTGCTTTGCTGCATAATCATAGATGTGCTGTTTGAAAGCATGTCTTTCCACTATCACTATCTCAGGCCTCTTTCTTGATATTTACTGCCAATACAATAAACTGAAAAATCTCATAATGAGGGAAAATAAGCTGTTTCCTGGATGACTGAACAAAGCTGTCTAATAAGTATAATCTAAATAATTCCCACTTTCACTTTATATTATTTTGGGCAACTGAAAAAGTTGAAACACTCTCGATATCATCTCTTTCAGGTCAATCATATTATTCAGGTACATGAATGCATCTATTGAAGGATTTTTATTTACTTTGGTGTTTACGTTTTTATTTACTTAGGTGTTTTATTTGTTGAAAATGTAGAGCATAAAATATTACATTTCTATGAGTGAATAGTTAAAAGTATGA